TCTGTCCCCTTTAGTTTTCAGTCGAGACTCTGGAACAGACAGCAGACCTCTGCCCGAGGATCTCAAGGTACGTGCTGGTGCGTATGGACTAAAAGGTCAGAAATATAACAAGGCGAGAGGCCATGAAGAGCTTTAAAAGTGATACAAGGAAAACAAAATGGGTCCTAAGACCGACCCCTGAGGCTCAGTGCTGTGGTACTTCCTAAAACCAGATTGAAACTTTTCAAATAATTTGTTATTTTCCAGCACAGTGAGCAGCTGTTTGGACACAATTCTTTCTAGAATCTTTGCAGTAAAAGGCAGTTTTGAAATTGGTCTAAAATTATGTGGGAGGGAGGGATCTAAACCAGGTTTCTTTAAAAGTGGGTTCACGCAAGCCGTTTTAAAATAATCAGGGACACAACCAGTAGATAGGGAGCTGTTAAAAACAGAGATCAAATTCTCGCATCCTTAACCATGTTATTGTAGTTAATTAATAAATCCTTCAGACTGAGGTAATGGACTTGGAGACTGGATTTTTTCCATCTGCGCTCTGCTTCCTGCATTCCCTTTTGAGGCTGCGAATGCTGTCATTTATCAGGGTTGCTTACTAGTTTAGACGTAGGCTAACCTTTAGAGGAGCATAATATTTAGTGACGACAAGCAGATATGATTGAAGTGATCGACCAGATTGTTGTTGTTGGAATCAGACAGGTGTTGGCTTTGGCTCTGAAAGAATGTGCAAAACTTTGAAACACTTTGTTCATTAAAGATGCGACAACACAAGGAGCTTGGTGAGGCGGCATGAGTAACAGACGAATTGCAGCTAAAAACATATATCTGTGGTCAGATATGGTCATGTCCACTAATTCCACAGAGGAAATGCTGACACCCAGGGTAAAAACCAAGTCCAGTGTATGACCACGGTTATGTGTTTTTGTCTTTGACATGTTGTTTGAAGTTAAAAGAAGTGGCCATATTTAAAAAGTCAGTTGCATTAACATTGTTGGGGTCATCAACATGAATATTAAAATCGCCACAAAGAACAATTCTGTCATAATTTAAAACCAGAGTAGATAAAAATTCAGGAAGTTCTGATAAAAATCCTGCAGGCGGTTTTGGGGGGCGATAAATTATAACAAATATGATGCAGCCCTCCAACTTTAAGAGTGAGAACTTCAAAAGGAGTTAAATTCATCACAGCGTACTTGATGACATTTTAAATTTTTCCTATACACGCTCACTAGCCCACCACCACGACCACTGACCCTCGGCTGACTAAAACACTCATATTGAGGCGGACACAGTTCAGCTAGCTGGCTATAGTCATTCATTTGCAGGCCAGGATTCAGTTAAAAACATAAAATCTAGATCTAGGTTTTCAGGCGGTAACAATGAACTCATTTTGGAAAGACACTAGAGCCAACCAAGTTTGTAATGCTGGGTAATCTATTTACTGGTTAGACCGGTTTCTGATACCAAACAGGTTGTCCACCAGGAAATGGTACAGCTGAATAGCCACCCAGATCAAGTGTCTTATCTCATGACCACTCACCTTAGATAACAACCTGAACAACAGTTACAGTTTATGGTACTTGCTATGACACAGCAGATCTGCTCTTTTACCATGAAGATCTATCTATCTATCCTAAACAAGGCATCACTTTGCGTTGAAAAGCATTGGGGACAAAATGTTAAGCATTAAACACCTGGATTCTGGTAAAAAAAAAAATTCTGCACCAATTTCTGACTTTTCTGAATCCGTTTATGGAGAAAATATTTTTATTTATATGAAGGGAAACACAAAATTCAGATGGCAGGTGACCATTCAGAATATAAAAACATGCTCTCAGGCATTCTGTGCTGTTTCTGATATGTTTCACTTGTAGATTAACTTTTCATATTTAATATCATCCCTGCTGAGTGAACACACACATGCAGGAGTGATTTAGTCTTCCCTCCCCTTCTGTCATGTTCACAGGGTGAGAACGGAAAACTTGGCCAAAAAGAAACTGTGTCAGGAAGTAGTTAAAGTTACTGACCAGTGCACATTTTTGGGTCATTTTATAATCAGAAGCTTGTTATCTACTCTTTATTGGCACAATGCACATATGTTTCTTCTATATTTAAACAACATTGCATATTTACTTATTGTGCCAAGAAACCTTTCTCATAACATGTTCATTTGTTATTTAACATTTCTTGTTGCAAGCTATGTTGAACAAAGTATGCTTTCAAAAAATGGTGGGGACATGTCCCCAGCTTCCTCAGTATAAATCAACATCTATGGAATATATGGAAAATATGCACATTTAAAGAGTTATAGGTCGCTGTAATCGGTCCTGCAAAGAGATCTCCTCCCAAAATGATTGCAATGTAAGTGATAGGAGACAAATTTCAGTCCTCAAAGTCTAATACACTGCAGAGTTCATCTGAAGCTGAAATGATGCTTCTAGAATCTGTGAAACAAATCGGGTGTCTACCAAATTTGCTTTTATGGCATGCTGTGGTTGCTTGCTGGGCTGCGGTGGAGGGATAGAAACAAAAAGCAGGAAGTTTCTATTAGTTTGTTTATATCCTCTTGACTCGTCTAACTCTCCAACACTGCTGAAGCCTCAGATTATCTGAGGAAGCAGGAACAATCACAGCCGCCATAACTGTTAATATACATACGGCTACATGTTGGTTTTGTTTAGACTTGAATCTGCACCGATTCTCTTGTATGATCTTAGTGGAGGTGGGTCTAATTTGAGACATGGCGGCCCACCTCCACTGCTATAATCTATCAATCTATCTACATTCAATTGTCTTTATTGGTATTATGTTTTAGTTCAAATATGTTGCAAAAGCAGACGTCACATAAGAAGGAAAGATTTCAGGCGAATAAGGTTTACTTGCAACAAATGTTTGGTACGCGGGAAGTCATTAGAAAGACAAGGCAGAGCCGAGCTACACACAAGATAGCTTAATAAAAAATAACAATACCGGTACGCTTACTAAGAATAGACAAGACAAACTGGCCGCCACAAAGAGGTACAGGCAGCTTTAATCCACCAGAGAAGAGTGAATAGGTCGCAGGTAAGACGAATCAGGGCGGGGCAGATCATCTGAGAAGGAGAACAAAGAGGGGTGATACATGTGACGGCCCCTCTTCAGGGTTCATACTGCTGCTGGTGTGCTTTCTGTCTCCAGGGCTGCAGACCTGATTGACAGGGAAATCAGCGGCGTGGGACACACCTGGGCCCGGTGTGCCCCATGCATATAAGCCAGAGCAGCAGTCTTCTCTTACAGCTTCCTTTGTTTGTTTGGTTTCTTGTCTTTGTTTTAACAGCACAACACGTCTACAGCAAACACTTTTCTCCCTCAACTCAGACTTCAAAGCTACCCTAATGTTTGTCGCCTACTACTACCACCACCGAGAAGTGCTCCGCAATCTCTAGTAGCTGCTCCTTTGTACAACGCTCCAATGCCTCTTTAGACGGAGCTGCAATAAACGCATCACAATCTGCCATAAAAACAAACTACAACTGGCACATCAAAACCACAGCAACAGACAGTTACAGCTTCCTCAAACTTCCCGCTATCTTGATCAACCCAAGTAACTAACTCATCCCTAGTCTTCATGCAGCTACTTGTGGTGGGTATTTATGCACTAATGGCCGCTGGCTTGGAAGAGCAATTAGCACACTAGCGGCCTTGCCAAAACCACGGACACGCTCCCAAGCTAAAAGCTTCACCCACATTCGCCGCAACACTACCAAGGATCAGCTCAACAAGCCCAAAAGTGGATTGTCGCTACAGCCTACAAGAAAAAACTCCAACCACTTTTATCAGTAATACTTAAACAAGGACCCACAACAGTCAGCTGGATTACCCGTTGACTGCAGCCACAACAACAACTACTACTAATTTGTAAGAACACAAGTTACCTACAAACTAAATGATCAAAAGTGATTTATTTAACAAAAGAGTGAATAAACATAACTATTTAAATGTGGAAGGTGTGTCTCTGTAGCAGTCAGGGTGATCAGGCTATGGTTGATGTCTGGACTGCAGAGAAAGTATTTTGACCAAGTGGAGCTTTATCTCCACTGGCTCACAGGTACCAGGTGCACCCGATCAGCAATCACCTCAACAGAACAAAGACGGTTAACAACAGTGAGGCATCACTCCCACAGAGTGATGCCTCACTGGATCACACAGGGGCCGTCACACCATTTCATTACCAGCAGCCAAAGCCAAAGACGACAAGTTATACCAGCTTCTCTGATCCAGAGGTACAATCATAACTGACGTACCTGCTGTAATCATCACAAACTACATACCTATGATAGTTAATACTTTACTTCCATGGTGTTTGCACAGGTGTTTTGACAGCTCAAATATAACGTTATATTCATATCTGTAACGTGACCATGGACGCCCACAAGTATGTGGATTGTTAAAAGAACATGATCAATAAATTTGCATTTTGCATCATTGATCTGTTAATTAATTTTACTTCAATTAATATTTTTAGTCTTATCATTTAATCTGTTTTATTTGAAAGAATGGGCTGCCATATGTAAGAAATAACTAACAGACAGCGTTAAGAAAATGCCTGGAGTAGATTTTGTAAACTGTTTAGTACTTTTATCATTAAATTAAATATGTTACATTTCACTTGTTGACAGATTAAAGTCTTATTCCAAAACCATTGGCATTAATCTGCTCATTAATTTGAGTATTTTTTGTCATTCCTAACATGTAATCAGTAACAACATCTGGTAAATTTAAGGTTTCATGTAATTAACAAGCAATAAATAGGGTTTTGACTTTGTATATTTAGAATTGTTGTTTTTGTATTTTGCCAATTTTACTATTAAAATAATTAAAATTTCACTTGTATTTATCAGTGTTGTATAAAACACACACATCATTTTATAAACAAATCTAGAATCAGCGCACAAAGTCTCTTTATTTTCTTTTTATTTATCTTTATTGCAAAAAGAAGCATGCAATACACATGTGAGGTATACGTAACAGTTTAAAAATATATAATACACAAATAGTAAAAGATAAAAATTTAAAGAAAGAGGACCATATATTGACTGTTTTCAGAGCATTTTTGTTGTTTTAAATTAAATTGACATAATGCACAACCGCACAGAGAAAAAATAGTTAGGTTATTTTGTTACTGCTTGATTCACATTTATGAATGTGCAATTATGCCATTAGGATAAATACATTCTTTACAAAGTATTTATTTTCTTTATTTTGACTTTTATTGAAGCAAAACACCACATTCTCCCACATTATCGCATCTGTGCATTAAGTCTCCCTTACGTACTTGAACGTAATGACGCGGAGAGCGTGTTTCCGTGCGTAACGCGTCATATCTTCCAACACATCCGCCGCTTCCTGGCCGGCCCAGGCAGGCGCCTCAGGCCCCGCTCCACACTGAACCGCTATCCGCTTATTATCATCATCATCCACCGGTGAAACGCACAGCTCCTCCGCTCAGCCTGCGAGGAGCTGCAGCCGCTATGAGTGAATGAAAACGGCGGAAATCCACGAATCCTCTGCAGAAGTCCCGGGACTCGCTGTTGGGTGAGTGTTTGTGTTAGTTGCTGTTGGTTTTGGGGAGTTAAAGAGATGCTTACAGGAACTGATTTGTTTTGTCTCCCTTCAGAATGAATCACTGTGAACTCCCATGTCAGTAATCTGTTCTTCTGTCTCCATGGAGAATATAAAATGAAATTAAAGTGGCAGTTTATTTTTCCTTTCATCACAAGTAAATGTTTAAGGCTTACTATTATAAGTGGGAAGTCACATGTGAGGGAAGCTTTGTTCCTGTGGAGCCTCTGTTCAGACATCATGGACTGTACAGCTGATCAGTTTTCTCTGTGTTAGTCTGTGTTTCTACCACAAACAGCGACTGAACTGCTGCCGCTCATTTACTCAACTCAACTCGCAAAACAATCTAATGAAAGCAGCAGCAGGGAGAGACGTCATCCCCATTTTCCAGCAACATTAAGCACATTAATCTCTCTGTTCTGTCAGCAGCGCCGGGGCTGGAGGAAGGTGGGGCCTGAGGCGTACCGGCTGTGGTGATGGTGTTGGACTCAGGTGAAGTCTTCATGGATCAGGTTGAGGGTGAAAGTGTTGGGAGCAGCAGGGACCTGTTGGAGCCAGAAGTCAGAGCAGATCCGCCCAAAACCCCCGTGAGGCCCAGGACGCCGGCCAAAAAGAGTAATGTTGCCAAGAAGGAGAAGGTGTCCCACAACGGACTTCCCGTCCAGACGAACAGCAGCCAGGTAGTAGAGAGGAGATCGTCATCATCAAAAAGCGGGGCCACACCCAGACCGCCACTCCGCCGTCCCCTCAGCCTGGAAATGACGCCCCAGCACCTGCGAGGGACTCGGGAGCAGACGGCGGACAGGCGGATCGTGCAGCCTCCTTGGCGCAGCGGTTCGGCAGCTCCCTCGCCTCCGACTCGCAGTCTGACCAGCCCCAGTCTGGGTGCAGGCGGCTGGATGCGACGCAGCGAGAGCACCTGCTCAGTCAATTACTCCCTGGCGCATCGGGCCAGCAAGGGGCAAATGCGACCTGCCACCTCCTTGCCACATATAGCGAAGGGGATTGGGGGGACGACGACGCCTACGCCCTCCAGGCCCTGTCTGCTCGTTGCCCTCAGGCCTCTTAACTTGGAGCAGGAGAAGCAGACTTTCTTCCAATCTGACTACAAGTACGAGCCTCAGTTTGAGTACGCACAGCCGGAGCCGAGGACTGTGTTGGAGAAGTACCGAGAGGGCTCAGGCCTCTTCCTCGAACAGGTACAGTATGTGAAACCTGTGAGAATCACCTGTGAGCTCACACGATGATGATGATGATGATGACTTTACTGTTTATCTGCAGGCGGTTGGGATCATGGAGTGCGTCCTGAGGAAGTTTGGCTCTTACGAGAACTTTGAGGAAGTGACGGGTGGCGGCGTCCTCCCTAAAAGTCAAGTCTGGGCTGCTGTACGCAAATATCTGCAGAAAGAAGGCTGTGTGGGAGAGGTGAGTGCAACAACAGAGGCGACTCTCCAACCACCTTTTACCACAGCAGATATTTTGAGACAGTAGGAAAAAGCACAGGTGTTGCTAATAAGATTAACGATTGCTCAGTTCTATTCGAGTGTCTCTGTAAGCCGGCACAAACAATACCAGGACCCTGAAAATGAAGCAGCTAAATGGGATTCAGCCATCATTCATGTTCTTATTTACACCTGTGCTTTTCCTACTTTAAGCTTTATGCAACTTCAAAACAACTTCTCAAAGAGACAGAAACACAATGTGTTATCAGTGTACATGCAGCAGGTTTATAGTTAATGTTTAACACATATTTAGGAAGCTACTGCTGGAGAACCACAGTATAATGATTTTTATACACAGGCACACATTTTAGTCCCACTGTCCATTAGATAAACAGAATGTCTTAAAATCGGCACAATCCTACTTAGAAACAGCAACTAACCCATGTCTCTAATTGTTGTGCCAAATTTAGCCGTGGGCAGTTTGTTACCTCTGCCCCTGAGCTGTGTAAAGGTTATCTTCACTGTTTGCCCTGCCTTGCCCCCAGGTGTCTGCTAAAGCTAATCTTCCTGCTGCTTGATGTTGCATCACGTGAACCTGAGCTCAGCACACATAACAGCCACAATGTAGAGTTCAAACGATTAGTCAGTTAATAAGTAGACATAATATAATTATATTGGTATTTTCACATTTATTTATATATAAAATAATAATAAATAAGTCTTTTTTTTTTTTTTTTTTTCACCTGTAAAGTAATCTAGATACCATGTTTAATTACTAAGTTTAATTGATTTGTTAGCTGCTCCGCTTTTATTTAACGACTCAAAGAGGTACATTTATCCAATATTTCACTAAGCTAAGATTAGGTAGGTAGGTAGATTTGTTTTGTCACAGTATAACAGATTACAGAGTGAAATTGAGTTTGTAACTCCCTTCTGCTACGTAGCAGACAAATATCCATTAATATAGAAACAATTTATTATATTTATAACATTTAGTGAAGACGCTCAAAACTGTATTTACCTGGTCCAGTGAGGACATCCCATTCGCTGTATGTGTATTTTTACATGGAAAGGGTTGGCAGTAAAATAAAAACAATGGTTTTCCGGTTTTCCTAAGGTGGAAAATGTTTGCTCAGTGTGTCAGCTGTTTCACAATGAATTGTCTTGTATGAAGAGCAACCAGGCAGAAACCCAGTAAGGTCACTAAATAAACTGCTTTATGGTGATGAACAGTGTCTGTGTCCAGGTTGTGGTGCGCCTGTCTGACGAGCTGCTGTCTCAGGCCGTGATGGTGGTGGAGAGCTGTCGTCCCACTCTAACCATCAACCTGGCCGGAGCTCGACAGCACTGGCTGGAGGGGATGCTGAGACATGAAATTGGTATGCTGCAGCTCACACACTGGATCAGAAATGAACAGAGTCACAAAGTGTCAGACATTAAATTCATTCACAGTGACTATTTTTGCAGAAGGTTCGGTGTTCAGTAGCATTTTATATGCTCTGAATCCTGCGTTTAGCTTTTTGCATTAGATA